AATTCCGATTATTGTCGGACCGGACTGCCGGATGACGTGTATTTCGATGTTCAGATCGCCAGAGTTCTCCGTCGGAGGACAGCGTGGCGAGGCCATTGTGGAGGATGATGGTCGCAGTTCTTCGTTGTCCTCTTTGTCTATTGGGAGGATCAGCTATGACTCTGCAGCTGCTGGTGATGTCGACGGTGATGGTGAGGAAGTGCAGAGCTCGGCAAAAGGTGGTGCTCTCGACAGTTGGAGCACTTGGATGAAGCTTTGCCGTTGAAGTATGTAGCTTTGATCCATTTCTCGTATTTTATTAAACTTTTTCTTCAAATTTGCCTATATTATGTAATGCCATGTGATTGTTGCTGTTAATTTTATAGTTTGGCAGTACTTTTGCCAGTAAATTTGATGTTATAGTTAGGTTTCTGTGTTAGTATATTTCGCATCATTTAATTGCAGTTAAATGTTGAAGATTCTATTTATGTATGTGAACTATTGAATGCTCATTTCTGTATTCAGTATGATGTGGATTAAGAAATAGATACATGTGTTGTCTTGACTAATGTTCGACTGACTGTGAAGGGTTGAAATTATGAGCTTACTTCATTAGAATCTAAATTAGATATGTTAATGCATTGCATCTTCAAGAAATCAATTTATGTAACTCGCAGTATTTATCATAAATCTTACACACAATAAATGGGGTTAGCAATCAAGAATGTACTGGATTTGAAAGATAAATTACTGGCCAAGAACCTATAAAAGTTTCATTATTCAATATATGGGCAGTGCATGCCATAGATACTGGCCAATAGAAAAAATGTAATCTGAAAATTAATTTTATTTTTAAATTTTATTTTAGGGTTTAGGCTGGTAAAACCGTAAAATTATTGTGATGGCAAGAAGAATATGAATAATGACTTGCATGTTTAGAAGGTCTACAAGTGTCATTAGGGAAAGGTCCTGGAGTATTTTCTTTCTGACACTCAGATAATGTTCTTAGGTGATGACCCAGTGAATATATAATTATATGATAAAAAATATATCCAGATATTTGGTCCACATTTGATCATGCAAAAAGAACCTGATATTTTCTGAAATGCTGCAATCTTTACTACTGCTTATTTATCTGCTTGGATATATTGAAGTTGAAATCATTGGACATTTCCTTGTATCTTTCACATGTGATGAAATTTCTTTAACTAGTTAATGTTTATTCCTAGGGGACAATGCGTTAATAGAGTGTTATGCTAGCTTCATAGTCCTCATATTTCCTCTTTTCCCATTTTGAGGAGAGGTATATCGAAATTCTATGATGGTAAATCCAAATCTTTTACCAGTCTATCGGATGTGTCTTCCCATTCCTCTCTCAAAGATATTGTCAAGCCAGAGAATGCATACACACGAAAACGCAAAAATTTGCAAGAATTTCTTTGGCATCAATAGTAGTTACCAGCACAGTTGTGGTGTGATTTAAAAGAAACCTTCCAACTCTAGAAAAAAAAAGGTCTAGGAATGAATCCTCCTCATCACTACCGGAGCAGAAGTTCTCAGTTTTATCCTTATCTGATCCGCAAGTGCTGCAGCTTCAATTCCTAGCATAACCACCATGAAGGAATAGATAAGATACATTGAGTGTAGCTTGATTTTCTGTCACCATATGAACCTTATTTCATATAAATGTTCATGGTGGTGGGAATATATTATAAGCAGTTTTTGGCTTTCAATATGTGGCTGTTGCTCCCTTTGGTTATTGCTCATGGGCATTTTCAGTATGTACTCATCTATATAAATTGTTTTACCTTTGGTTTATCTATTTTAGGTGCTCTATTTAGACTTTACTTCTCTTACCTCAATTTGCTCTGACCTAGAGAATTCCTACTATTTTTTGTCAAAGATGAAAGCTATAAGTGATGTGTACATGCATTTTTTGGGCTTGTGCTAAGCATATGTGTGTTATAACCCCTAGCATACCTCGGAAAGTCTTTCCCAGGTTTGCTGGATATCAGTGCTCTCTTTGTTTTTTGATAGGGAGGGCTAAACTATTGTGTTGTCCTTTGATCTAAAATATCTTTATTATTAGAATTGATTTATTATCCTTACTATTAGAATTGATTTATTTCCTTTAGAGATAGCGAATAATTATAGTAAGGAGCTTTAATGCTTCTCCTTTCCTTTTTATGTTTTATTTAGTCTTTGTAACCCTCTTATATAAAGTGGATTTTCATTCTAATAAAGGGGACAAGTAAGAAAGAAGTTAAGTTAAAATCAAAGGTGGGAAAACTCTCAAAACGTTCCTATTATCCTTGCTCCCTAATCCCTTTACTTTATCTCTCAACATAGACAACCTACAAACAACCCCCAATAATCGTAATCGCCCTGTGACGTGTGCGTTTTCCCGGGAACATAACATCCTTGCAGGGAGGGGACCTGGTCACTCTCATTACAAGTCTTGTTACAATATTCTGATTCTTTGTAACATAAAGTTGGTGCTTTGTATTAAACTTCTCGGAAGTTGACAGTTCTGTTTAATTATTCAATTCTTTTGGCAGCTTGGAGCCTTGGACTGTGCATCAACTCGATTTTACAATGGTAGAGATACTCAAGCTATTGTAAATGAAAAGCATTGTAAGCAAAAGTTACCATTTCCAAAAAGACAGGATCTGTGGCTCAGCTAAAAAAGACAGGAAATGGTGGCAGTGGTTGAGAACTGGAGTATGGATTGCCAGCACAAGATCATTTAAGGTATGGGATTTAAACTTGGCAGAAGGTGTTTTGGAATGATTTCTTTGATATTTGCTATTTTTATTCTCTGTAATAAAGTATATTGTTAGTTTCTTCTTTCTGCATTCGCAACAGTAAATAACTGCCATTAAGTATGCGGTTTATTTATAGAAGCGAAAAACAGGGCTTGACTGGAATTTACAGTGAAAAAAAGGGGCAATGCAGGCTCCTCTTAGTCCACATTTAACTTTCTAAGAATGTGCTACTTAAGACCTTTTGAATTAGGTTTCTCTTTTCACCATTTTCTGACCATTTTGAGTTGTGATGGTATTTTATGAATGTCTAACAGTTAAAATTATCACTTAAAAGCAATAAAGCATTAGGATTGCAAGCAATTCAAATCAAGGCAAACATGAGTTGGTTTGATTTGAGTGTATTCAAGCTCCATATTTGGGATCAAGTCCAATTAAAGAGAAAATTAGACATGTCAGAGCACAATTTGGAAGGTTGATTCTCTGTATAAACAAATTCTTCTTTATTAGAGGCTGTCCAAGTATATAGATTCATAATAATTTTTCAAAGAAAGTAAGTGAAGGAATAAGATGTGACCAATCAATAAATTCACTAGTAAATAGGACATCTAAACCATGATAGATGGAGTATTAGCTATACTTACGAAATTCAAAGTGGACGCAAAATTTATCTATATAACATTACAAACAACAAGTCTTGTATTATCTATAGAATAATACAACAAAGTGAACACAAAATATTAGATGAACTAAAAATAATAATACTCCGTAATAAGTAAGAAAGGCTTACAGAATCCCTAGGATAATAGCAAGAGCATACTTTTTCCTATTAGTGGATGATTATGTTGCATAAGCAAATCTATAAGACCGAGTACAGGCAGGACATTGAACTAATTAATCAACACTAAGCGGTGTCAGAATAAGGTAAGTAATAATAACAGTAAAAAGACTGCATGATGATTAATTATTTCAAACTTCCATTTTAAATTAAATTATTCCTTTTCCATCAATAATATCTAAATTTATTTCCTATATGCAAACATAATGTTTTAGGATGTTGTGTGGTGCCCAATTTAACACATAATGAGATTGGTTTCTTTTAATTCACAAGAGTTCACTTAGTCCCCATTGTGCAAAGGTTAAAACACCTAGCAGTGAACCAACACTTCAATACTTAACTAGTAGCTTATAATGCTCAAAAACACACACAAAAAAAAAAAAAATAAAATAAAATATTGTGATTTTGGAGTCTTTGAAATGGCAAATTAACATGAAACCAAAATTTATTCTGGTTCGGATGAACTTATGAAGGCTTAGGAAGAAAGATATATGCTAGACCTTTTTTTCTCTTGTTTCTGATAGGTAATTTCTAGGTATTATCTTATTTGGAACTATAAAGTAATATCCCCTAATTTGGAGGGCTGGGGTTTTTGAAGGCCTATCTTTTATATCAACAATAACTGAAAAATTATGATTGTATACCGTGGTATTTGAGAAAAGTATCTAAAACTATTAACTGCACCTACTAAAAATTGTTACTTTCGGAGTATTTTCAGATTATAGTAATTCATACTTCTGATTTAGTATATCATTAGTTGATAAAAAGTCCACTACCTCACACTTGAAGCGCGTGGCAGTGTTAAGAGGCCTATAAATACAGTCAGTGTAGAAGACTGCATTGATGAATTCATAAGGAAAACGCCCTTCTCTCGAGGTTTCTCCTTTTCCTTCATATTTCTCTTTTTTTTTTTTTTTTTTTTTTTTTTTTTTTTTTTTTTTTTTTTTTTTTTCAAAGTAAACTAATAATTTTTTTAAAAATGTTTTTCCTTTGCACCTTAGTTTTGTATGTGACTTGCTTTTTCCTGTATGATTGTCATCTGCGAATTTCCTTCATAAGGCTGAGATACTACATTCTCTGACTCTTTTTTGATTGAGGATTTCAGCACCATCATTTAGCCATTTGACATCTGGATGATGTATTGACTATAGCTTGGATGAAATTCTGTGTGTTACTTTGTTTCTCGTCCATCTCTAGTTTTTTTTTTTTTTTTTTTTTTTTTTTTTGTTTTTGTTTTCCTAGTTATGATTCTTGGCCAGGCTCTATTTTTTTAGGTTTATTGTTCACAGTGAAGAGTCTCTTTGGTTTGGTTTGGCATGCTTCATATCTTCCTACCTTTTTTTCTTGTCTTTTACTCTTTCTTGTCATTTTGGTAGATTCACGGCAGTCTCATGGTGTGAATTTCATGTGAACAGGTCTTGTCAACTAAGAACATATTTTGCCATGGATGCTGCCTATCCTGAAGTTTCTGTTGAGTTGATGAATCTTTTCCATGAAATAGACAGAAAACTTTATTCAACCCTTGTTTTTGAGCTTGAGCTTGATCCTAAGGTATCTGTGAATATAATTGCCTTATGGATTTGGTTGGAAAAGAATAAAATAAAAAATGCTGTGGATAAAGTCCTGTCATCGCCCATAAAATTGATCAATGGACTTGCTGATGAAGCTGTGTCTTGCCTTAGATGCATCACAGATGACATGTATCTGTTCTCTTCTGATGCAAGTGAGATTACGCTCACTCAAAATGTCTTGGCAAAGCAGTTGTCTCTAAAATTCTTCCATGAAAACCGGACCTGTGCATTATCTGGCATCAGAATGGTTGTGGAGACTGTTTGTGTCAAGGTATTGGACGATCTCATTCAAATGGCCATCACGAGAAACGCTGAACGACAGTTGCTCAAAACTCAAATGGTCATGATGCCACCGCCTGTTGCTGAGCCGAAGGATGCCATGATACCAAGGTTTGGAGGACTCCAAGTCACAGGTGAGTCATCTCGGTCAGTGGTGCCTCCCATGGATCCCATGACATCAAGGTTTGGGGGATTTGAAGTCACGGGTGAGTCATCTCAGTCAGTGGCGCCTCCTATAGATCCCATGATAGAAAAAAGGTTTGGAGGACTCAGATTCGCTGGTGAGTCATCTCAATCGGTGGTACCTCCCATTGATCCCATGATACAAACGTTTGGAGGATTCAGATTCGCAGGTGAATCATCTCAATCGGTGGTGCCTCCCGTTGATCCCTTGATACAAAGGTTTGGAGGACTAAGATTCGCAGGTGAGTCATCTCAATCGGTCGTGCCTCCCATTGATCCCTTGATACAAAGGTTTGGAGGACTCAGATTCGCAGGTGAATCATCTCAATCGGTGGTGCCTCCCATTGATCCCATTATACAAAGGTTTGGAGGACTGAGATTTGCAGGTGAGTCATCTCAACCGGTGGTGCCTCCCATTGATCCCAAGATCCAAAGTTTCGGAGGGCTCACGCTCACAGGTGAGTCGTCTGGATCAGCGATGCCTCCTTTGCGCATGGAGGAGCCAAAAGACAACAGGACAATGTATGCTACGTTTTCAAATGGCTATCCTGTTTCTGATTGGGAGCTTTGGATTTACTTCAACAGGATGTATGGCGACTGTGTGGAGTCCATCTCTATGCAGCAGGTGGTAGAGCCCAATGATCAGTCGATGTTTGCCCTGATTGTCTTCACCTCTCCAAGAATCGTTCACTTGATTCTCAGAGGCCTGGAGAAAGCATTTTTCACAATTCAAGGCAAGGAAGTATGGATTCGCAAGTGAATCCCGAAAGCCTAAGAACCTCTCTTGTTCTTCTCCCCAGTGTTTCCGTTTTCTAAGTCCAGTTATGTTGTTTGTTTCAGTTTGTTGTCGATGAAGCTTAGTTATGGTGTTCTTTGATTTCAGTTTGTGGTAGATGAAATCCAGTCATGTAATATAAATATATTGTACTAATGAATGCAAATCTTTCAATTTTGTTGTGAACTTGATTACTATTCTGTAATGTTTTGGCTCTTGTATTGGTTATTTTTATTTTTATTGGTATTTTTTCTTCTGATATCCATTCATTTCCTTTCCTAACAAGTTGAAGATTACTGAAATTCACCAATTTTGTGATTATGCTTAATGCAGGGAATCTCAAATGATTTAGTCAAATACATTGCATCAACCTTGCAGCAATAAATTACTATGACTAGTAAGCGATTAGTTGAAAAGTTTGAAATTATTTTTGTCAAATATATGCGTTGAAATATTAAATGCATTTATTAAAAAGTGTGCGTTACATTACGCATGCATCGATATTTGTTATATATTCGTTTTATATTTTTTTCAAATCTGAACTCAAACTAAAAAAATTGTGAGAATTTATTTTTAATTTGTTTTGGTGTGAAAGTAAATTTAGAAGTTGAAATTTTCTTTTTGAAACTTGTCTGGATAATTGTTCAAAATCAACTTAGATTTATACCCTTGATGGTAGTACCACTTTGCCCTCTCAACTTAAACATTTTGTAACATTTGAACAATAAAATACTTGACACTAAAAAAATAGTTTTCGTTGACTATTGAAATGCGAAAGGAATGAAAAAGAAGAAGAGATGGCTTCAAATATTTTCTTGACAACTATCATATCTTTTAAGATTTACATTTATTTAAGTGTAAATCTTGTCAAATTTAGCTATCACTCAGGTTTTAGATATTGTAGTTTGTTCCTTTCTTATATATGCCAAATGCCAATATATATTTATGTATTATAAATTTTTAAAAATTCAATTCTGTATAAACTAATTTGTAAATCTAAAAACATAATAAGTCTCAATTCAGGTTATACTCTTGATTTATGTCCGTTTTCCTTATAATTTTTTTTATACATTATGCTATAAGAGTTTTGCTATATAATTTTTTGGACAAAAATATCCCTACCGTTATCTTTTACCATTATTTTTACCCCAAAAGGCTGAATTCCCAACCCGACAGAGCATGTAAATCACGATAACACAAGGAATCTGCCCGCGGGCAGGGTCAAATGTCAGTGCGCACAAGGAATCTGCCCACTTTGGACATTGCTGCCGCCGAGATTCAAACCTTGGTCTCTTACCCCAAATACTGCCCACTAAACCATTGAGCTAAGCCCGCGCGGAACTTTTCCCATTATTCTTACTATTCACAACGTACACAATATCTTTATATATATATATATATATATATATATATATATATATATATATATATATATATATATAGACTTGCACTCGGGTGCGAATGGCTTGCCCAGGCGCGAAATAGGAATGGATTCTGTTCGTCCACGTGTCCAGATCTAATGGATGAGAAACACTGATTTTAAAAAAAATGCGGTGACATTTTCGTAAATAATTGAACATCGAAGTGCAAGTAAAATGTATTACAAGTGCATGTAAAATGTATTATAGGTGCAAGTAAAAATTTACACTGAGCATCAATACTTAGTTGCACTTATAGTTCTAAGTAGTTGCACCTATAGTTCTAAGTAGTTGCACACATAGGTATAAGTAGTTGCATCTAGGTGTATGAATGTTTGCGAGTAGTTTTCAGGAGTATTACTACCCGCTGAACTCAGATCAATGAATGTTAACAAGGCAAGATTACATGCACTTATAGGTGAAAGTAGGTGCACCTATAGTTATAAGTAGTTGCACCTATAGTTATAAATAGTTGCATATATAGTTATAAGCACACCCAGGTGCATGAATGGTTGCGGAAAGTGAATGCTAACAAGGCAAAATTACATGCACTTATAGGTGAAAATAGGTGCACTTATAAGAGATTTTACTTGCACTTCGATGTTCAATTATTTACGAATATGCCACCGCTTTTTTTTTAAGTTATTAGATCTGGACACGTGTCGCGCGCTGATTCGTTCGCATTTCCTTCCTGGGCACTTATTCGCACCTGAGTGCGTCCATATATATATATATATATATATATATATATATATATATATATATATATATATATATATATATATAGAGGCGGGTTCAGGTGCGTCAGTGTCTTACGGTGCGATTATTTCTTACGGTGCGGCAACACCAATAGTTCACCAAATATGCACCATCAACGTTAGGAAATACACCACACAAAACAGAGTAAACAGAGCCCTGCATCACCAAACACACACCATTAGGTGTGAGTAAAAACACCATACACTGTTCGGAAATACACCATTGGGGGTGGTGAGTTATATGGTGTGTTTTTTTGAGTCTGTGGTGTATTTTGTGATGTTTTATTACATTTCATTGGGGTGTGTTTTTATTACAATGTTGGTGCATATTGTTAACACTGTTGGTGTATTATGGAATTTGACCGCACCGCCGCACCGTAAGACCCCGCCGCATATGAGCGCTCTTCTATATATATATATATATATATATATATATATATATATATATATATATATATATATATATATATATATATATATATATTCTTCAATGATAATAATGTGTACATATGATATATTGGAATAATCTACAAATACAAATACATAATTACATGCAATACAAATACAAATACATAATTACATGCAAATACAAATATACAAATCTAATAAGAGCCAATAAAGTTAGGCCCCTAACGAGAACTAAAAAAATGTTGGTGTAATTGTTGGTTGAAATAATGGTTCATATTATTTTGATTTTAGTATTTTTATGATTTTTTCTTTACCCTCTATTATATTATTTTCTTTCCTTAAATAACCTTGCATTCCGTTAGTATAAACTTTAATAACGGAATATTCCATTAACTATTTATTATTCTTAACTTATTAATTTCTATAAGAAAGGTCTTAAGGTTCGAACCACATTCCAATCACAGTTGGCATAATTGTTAAACATATACTACAAATATATTAAAATGTGTTTAAAAAAAAAAAAAAAAGACAATATAAAACTTAACATAAACTTTGGTCAAATAATTAGCCCGACTAAATACATAGATTCTAAGTTGAACATCAAAGATTATAAATCATGAACCTTGAAAATCCTTTTCTTGCATTTTTTTTTTTTAAAAAAACAAACAAATTTAGGTTAAGTTTTTTTTTTTCTCTCGTTTAATTAATCTTTTTTTGATTAATTAGAACAAGGCTCAATATTTCAATTATGCTTTTGCCCTCACGGCCTGCTACCTTCGCCCAAGCTGCGCGGTTGGCGCAACGGGTCTCATGAGACCCACCGCGCGGCCAAGGGCCCCTGCGATTGTCGCGGGTCCAGCCACTTGTGTTTTGCAGGTTTTCGTGACTCGTAAGACTCGAGGACTTTTTCTAAAAATGTAATGTGTTACGTGTTACGTGTTACGTGTACAAAATTGTTTTCCCAACAAAAGCATGATGTATCTACTTATTTGATGTGTGTACCAACTTTGGCATTATTATAAGTGTTGAGCATGATTCCTAATTTGTGTACTCATTTGGCATGTTTTAATTGAGTTGTAAGTATATCCCGATCATGTCTAAATTGTTGATTTATGTGGTCAATAGTATGAAGTAATTTATAACTTCGTGAGTTTGAGGTTATAAGAATCCCTTGGTTATGAGTCCTTGCATATGATTCCTCATTGTTTTGACTAAACTTTATACCCCAAATGCTTATCTCATATCCCCTATTTTCCCAAACTAAATTTACTATCTAGGCGTAGTATGTCATTTGTGTGCTATAGTGTATGTACTACTACGTGAGGAAAATCTTTATATCTTAGAGGTGGTGCTCAGATTCCGGTTACTTGAAAAGAAATGTTGTAATGAGACACGGAGGAACACTCCCGGAAATGTTGTGATGAAATGAGACCCGGTGGAACACTCTCGGAAATGTTGTGATGAGACTCGGTGGAACACCACCGGAAATATAAAAGTAACCTGGTAGAAAAATCTTGGGTTTACTTTGGGGCTTGAGCTATTACTCGTTGGGCTTGGAATACTAGTTGGGGGGTGTGCACACTTAAGGTAGCGAGTCCTGTTTCCATGTTACTTATGAGATACGTGGGCGAGACGTTGATAGACCAGCAATGAGTTACTGAGCTAGGATAGGTTCTTTCACACATGGTGAAGTTCCTACCTCCCCACCGTGATGATATGATGAGATTGTGATACAATGAAATTGATGGGATGATTATGATTAATGGGAAATATGATGCCCCCTCCACTACTACTATCTCTATATATAAAATACCGTTTTCCTTGAGAGAGTGTATAATATTAATTTCATGTCTAGTATTAGTTCCACCATGTTGTTCCATTGATTCATCCATCATTGTCGAGTTTTCATGTCACTTGATTCCCAATGTTAAGCATGATATGATGTCTTATCCTCTTGCTATGATCTGGCTATTCACATTATCACATGTCACTTTGCTTACTTCTTGATTTATTAAGTCATCTGGTTTCATATCTTGCTAGTGTATAGTAAGTATATGTATATGAATTGCATAAGTGTTCGTACATAATTTACACTTGCATGTGAGCTTAGTGTCACGGACTATTTTTCTGTGACCGTGCAAAGACCCAAGTGAATGTGGAAACGGCCAACTGGGTAGCAATGCCCGTGTCAAAGTGGTATCAGAGCGGGACGTACTTATATTGTTGTGCGTTATGGTGGGATCCTCAAGGGTGAGGATTATGTGAGCACGGTTGCGCGAAAGGGGATGCGCACGTGCTGATAACGGCTCCACTTCGTTGGTCCGCAGGGGGCGGATGGATCTCGCGAGGAAAGAGGACTCGGGTGGCCGCCAGCTCAGTTGGATTACTCTTCGTGAGATGTCCTGGCGTTTGCGGCGCGTATGCAATATTTAGTATGGTGATCCTTGGGCAGAGGCAATCTCCCCCTAGCACGAGGACGTGCTAGATGTTGGGTGGGGGGGAGTGTCACAGGCTATTTTTCCATGATCATGCGAAGACCCAAGTGAATGTGGAAACGGCCCGTGTCAAAGTGACTGTCCGAGCGCTACATCCTCCCCCACCTAATTTGGTGGCGTCCTAGT